GGTTCCTGAGGGGCTATAAAACAGGCTTAGGGCGTTTTCCTGCTGCCACTTTTTGCTTTGTGCCACAATGAAGGATCTAATTACTGAGGGACCCCCATCATGTGTCTTCTATTAGCTGCACCCCTTAAAGAATAGCTCGGTGGCTATCCCCAATAAATGGGAAGTTGAACCCTCTGTCTATGTCACGCTGGGAAGGGCGCTTCTTTAGCAAAGCTGGTTGACCATGTTTATGCCTGACTCTAATCAGGAGCAGTCCAGAGGGTGCCATGATGGCAATAAAACACCAAATACACCCTCTTCTTGTCTCTTGCCCTCCTCAGTGTAAGCCTCCCAGGCTCACACACAAACGCACACATGATGCAGAGCCCCCCAGAGGGGCACCAAGGAGGAGGTTATAAACCATTATAAGCCAGGTTAGCCTACAGTGACAGCCCAGCTTGTTCCTCCTTCTTTGAGCAGGTCCGCGTGCTGGGCAGTCCCAGCCTCTCATCCACAGTGCTGAATAGAACCACAGGGCTCTGGCTCCACAGAGATAGTGTTATCTGGGCCACCACGGGGCTCCGATCGCAGCCGTGTACACACACACCCAGCAGGCAGCGCACACATCAGCAGGAGTGCAGACAAAAGAAGCCTGTGGACCAACACAAACATTATAGGCATATAATGTAACCGCACACTAGGACATGTTCACACAGACAAACAGAGACAAATGTGAAAGTTCACACACATGTTTGGGGACAAAGCTTGACTCTCTAGCCTTCAACTTGAGCATGATAGTGACACTGATGTTGCTTCTCCAACTTGCTGCACATTTCCTCTGCAAACAGAAATCACCTCTGAGCTTTAACTGGTATTAAATGACCTGCAACTGTCACAGGATCAGCCTCTCTATCAGCTGGAGTGATTTTCTGCATGCATGGTGGCCAGTGGTCACAAGCCTCAAGCCTCGAATCAGGCCGTAGTCCCTGCTGTTTTTAGGAATCTGAGTTATTCCACCCATTCCTGGAGATCTCCACACATGACCTGTCGCCGCTGGGAGCCGCGAGCCAGAGGGACAGGGATAAGCCGCATTTCTCCCTTTTTTCCTCCAACAATTTCAATTAAAAAGAGATTTGAAGTGGAAAAGCACATTTTCATACAAGGCATGCAACCGAAATCATGGAAAAAGGTGAGGTGAGATGTGGTGGTGAGTTTTGAGGGCGTTTTCTAACAGCTATGAGATGTGTCTGTTTTGTTGGGGGCACTCTGATAGATGCAGGGTCGACCCGTGGAGAGATAAGGCATCTCGTTTCACTGCATTCATTGGAGTTGATCATAGTTGCTTGTCCTCTTATTAAACTGGTTTGATTCTGAGCACACAGTCAAACTCATTACATGCCTACGTTGTACTTTGTGCAGTTGTTTTATCTTTTTGAACTTGTGGCCCCCCATGAACCTCGGCGTCCTCAGACAGAAATCTGTATGTTTGTGAACTCAGGGCTCCACAGTGTTGGGCATCCTGCCTGAGGACGATACTCTGGGCCTTTGTGATCTTTTGCGTTTCTTCGCTGCTTCTGATCTGATATTTATTTATTTATGTTATTTCTTTCATCACTAAAACTTTGTTAACTTTTAAATCCTTTTTTCATGTTTCTTCATGTTATTTTTTATCCATGCTAGCAGCGTGGTTCTTTGGATGGCAAAATCTGGCCTTTGGTCATTCCATCACTTTGGTTCAGACAGACATGTGATAACTGTTTGATGGATTGCCATGAAATTTTGAAAAGACATTCATAGATCCCCTGACTTTTTCTCTAATGCCACCACAAGGTTGACATTTGTGGTTTTAAGCGAAATGTCTTTACAGCTATTTAAGGGATTGCCATTAAATTAAATTTTTAATAAATTTGGTTCACCCATTCATGGTCTCCAGAGGATAAATTGTAATAACTTTGATCCCCTGACCTTTATCTTCCTTCATCAGGCCAAAATTTTAATTTGCCCTGTAGGTTGGTTTATGATTATACTAAATAAATACTAGACTTCATGTTTTGTGCTAATTAGCAAATGTTAGCATGGCAACATGCTAACCTAAGATGGTGAACATGGTAACCACTATACATGCTAAACATATTTGACTGTCGCTGTGAGTATGTTAGCATGGTGATGTTAGCATCTAGCCAAAGACAAGGCTCTGTCTCCACCTCTAAGAACTCTTATGCTGCTTTAAAGTCAGAGTTGGAGGTTGGAATTTCCAAGTTGGAATTTCCAGCTTCTGCCCTCCATGCGTTCCATGTGCATGATGCCAAACTTACACAAAAAATATGATGTTTCTTTGGCAATTATGCACACAATTGAACTCTCAGCAGTTTGGCCCCCTTGCATATAACAAAATAGAGGAAAACGATTATGAGGCGACAGGTGCCATTATACACTTTATTTTACAGCACTTTTATGTATCTAATATATAGATATATAGACATTTAAGTTAATGGTTTGCCTTTTACAATGTGTGCATCCATGGGTGCTGCCACTGTTGTGTGATGTCAAACAATTGCTTCTTCATGGAGGCAGGGTAGACGGATTTGGCCCAAGTTTACAAGTACGACTCAAAGGACGACTTTGAGTGGCATTCCAATGTACTTTTTCTGGTAGAAAGTCAGAAATATTCAAGTTCCGAGTTGTCTGGAACGCAGCAATAGTCTTGATACTTTTTTATTCTTGAACTAATTGATTGTTGCTTATTATATTCCATCCATCCAGAGCTCCCTCTGGATGTCTGACCTCCTTACCTTATCTCGAAGGCTGAGCCCAGCCATCCTTAGGTGGAAACTCATTTCGGGTGCTTGTATCTGCAATCTCATTCTTTTAGTGACTACAGAAAGCTTATGACCATAGGTGAGGGTTTGGACCAGTAAATCAAAAGCTTTGCCTTCTGGCTCAGCTCCCTCTTCACCACTACAGGCTGGTGCAGCCACGGCACCAAACCCCCAATCCAGCTCACACTCCATTTTACCCTCACTCGTGAACAAAACCCGAGATTGCCCCCTCTGGGTTGGGCGAGAGTTAGCGCCCCAAGCGAAGGACTTTCGGTATCTCGGGGTAGTGGGGCAAATATTGTTGTACACAAGTGTTTAGTCCTAATAAGCAATTATTAACATGCTAAAATGCTAAACTAAGATGGTGGCACGATGGCATCAACATGTTATAGCTGCCATTGTGAGCATATTAGCATTGATGTTAGCATTTAGCATCATGGAGCTGCTAGCATGAATGTGACACTGTGACTTTTGAAAAGTGAGAAATGCTCCTTAATCCATTTTCAGTAATAAGTATTGTTGTCTCAAAGATTATTATAGACCTGAACACACTGCGCTAAAACAATTTCTACAATCAAAGCTCATGCTAATATACGTACAATTTGCGATTGTCTCGTGTATTAGATTACATTACATAAGAGCTGTCTGTGCTATTATATGGACCCCCTGTATGTTTCAAATACCAAATCCAGACCTGTCTGTGCTGATTAATGATAAACTCTTATAGATCTTTTATCTCTTCATTGCAAACACGCACAGCTTTTTACTGCACTACAACATGTGTGGCTGTTTTAATTGCTGAAATTTCACAATGACAAATAAACAATACACATTTTTGTTATTGTTCTTTCTTTAATTGACACCATTTATTGCATCAAGGCATGATTGCATTTTTAAACAGCTTTAAAAAAGTACAAATGAAAATAACAGTTAAGATTATAGAGCTCGTATCAAACTCGATCAATATGATACAATAAGAAAATCTGGCCTTTAAGCGTTGAGTTTTGTGTATCTGCTCATCATTTGTCCCCTCAAACCAACAGACTTATTATATTCTCAAACACATTTAGAATTTTTGTGAGAGCAAACAATACAAATAAAAAAAAAGACGTACACCAAAATAATCAATAAGGACAAATCCATCACCCAGTGACAGAAAACAGATTTTTTTTTCTTACTAATCAACACAGAAACACCATTGAACTGCATATTCCTTATCAACAAATTTGGCGAAATATAATCAACAAACGCCCAGTTTTGTATATATTCAGAAAGAAAAACAGAATATTTAAGCAAAGAAAGAAAAACTTGCCCAGTCGACTTATTGCAATGTTGAATTAATTGTTCAAAAACAAACTGATATGGACAATTACAGCATATGCATCACTTTCATTATGGTCAGTAAACTCTTAGAAAACATCTTAATACGATAAAAAAAATCAAACTAAACATCCTGGAAATAAAAGCTGTCTCACTTTCCTAAAACTGCTGCCTATCAAAGTGCATAATGTTTGATTTTCATGACTGATAATTTCCAGGTCTGCTCCTCTTGTAACTGTATACAAATGGCAAATATTCCTGCCTAGCTTCATGCTATATACTTTAGTGAATATATATTAAACTGACTATATAACAGAGTCATACATGACTGATTTCTAACCTCAGACCATGAGTTTAAAGTCCTGCTCTGGTAACTTGATGAATGGCTAATTTCACTGCACGTTAGTAAAATTAATGCTAATGTAGCAAAATAGAATCCTGCATGTCTTCTCAGTCCCATAGTGACTGTGCTTGTTTGTGGAGAGTGCTTTGAAAGGAGGCGAGTTGGGTTTTCTTCGCTTTGCTTCTGTCGGCATTTCGTTAGTCTGAGTGGGCGGAAGTTTGCTGCAGAGATCAGCCTCTCATTGGGCGGAACGAGCCACCCGCTGAAGTCCCACCCTACCACCTCCGGTTGTGTAGCAGTTTTCAACCGTTTTCAACACGTCCTTTACTAACTTTTGTGGTGTTTGATCTTGCGGGGACGTAGCCATTTTTCTGCCATGGTTCGCGTCCTGTAGCCGATATTTTTGTGGGCGTGTTACACCAAACCTGTTTCCCCCCAGCAATATTTTTGCAAGCGCACCGTTGCTGTGGCACCGCCCAGAACGATTATGATTGGTTGAAAGAAGTACAAGCAGCCGGAGCGTTTTTTCTTCAATCTCAAAGTGAGAGTCGGCCCAGCCAGACCTTTCTTTTCTTGAGAAAGGTCTGGTGAGCGAGACTAGCATTTCGTCAAAACTCCAGAGCGACAAATAGCTGCACTCGTTTGAACACATTCTCTTATTGCCAGCTGGCATTTGAGCTGGGATAGTTCCAAAAAAATCCAACTTAAAGGCTGCATGTAGTCTCGTCAAAACCTTTGCTGCCATTCATTCTACAGAGTGCGATAATCCCCGGCAGTCCATATGAAACTTTAATTTGGTTTATAAAAGTTTCTCTCATCGTTTCATTGTGCCTGATATATCAGTGTTGTGTCATGTTACGCACCGCTGTCAATCACCTGACACCCTCCGGAAGAAAAGGGAGTCTGTGCCAGGAAATAATCCCTAATCATGTTGCCCAACAATCTTTATAGTCAGATCAATGTCTTTTGTTAAGGAAATCTTGATTAACTTCACAGTTCAAGTTCAAGAAAGGTTTGACATTATTGTGTTTGTGTTTTAACAGAAAAATAAATTACAGATGCTGTGTATTGCAGAATGATTGGAGGGAAAGCAGAAGTAGTAGTTGTAGTTCTAACCACTTATCCTTGTGTGGGTGATATAGGTCTGAGTAATCAGACATGTTCAGGTCATTGGATGCAGATAATTAGGAGTCAGTGAGGTCAAAAGTCACAGATAGGCCTCCACTCGTTCCCATGGCTGCATCTCTGTGAAGAATCCTTCGCACAGGCTGAAGCCCTGATCCAGAGTCAGAGGAATGGCCTGCGCCTCTTCTTTGATTTCCTCCCAAGGCTGCAGCACCGCTTCGTCAGGCTGCTCCGAAAACAGCGCCGAGTGCTCGTCAAACTGCGGCAGGTGGTGGTGGCTTTGGAGCAGCTGATCCTGGTCCAGCTGCTGCTGAGGATGCTGCTGCTGCTGCAGCGGCACGTGGAGCTCTCCCATGTTGACCGTGCAATCCATGGCTGCTCCGCTCAGCTCCATGTAACCGTAGGACTGGTGGTGGTTAAGGTGCTGGCTCGGACCCATAGAGTCCCCTCCGCCGCACCACCTCCCCAGCCCCGCCGAGTGCTGCCTCCCCTGCAGGGACACCTCCATCTCGCAGCCAAGGGAGCTCAGCGCCGTGTTGATGTCCAAATCCTCAAAGGTGCTACAGTTCCCGCTGAGGACATCGTCGAACACGGACGCCAGGTCAAAGTCCCCCCTGAGGATGTCGGCTTTGTGGGCCTCTGTCGCTAAAAGAGGGGACTCAGTCGCCCTCATCGCCTTGTTCTTAGAGGGCAGGTGCTTCCGCTTGCTGCCTTGGTAGGGGCAGCCATTTTGGGTGCTGTGGTAACCCTGAACTAGTTTGCTCTGTCTGTGGTTGCCACCGCTGCTGCTGCTGCTGTTGTAGCTGCTAGCAGACATCCTCCTGCGTTTGAAAATGCCATTGACGAACATATCTGCATACTGCGGATCAATCTGCCAGAAGCCTCCCTTCCCCGGCTCGTCCTTCTGTCTGGGGACCTTTTTGAAACACTTGTTGAGGGACAGGTTGTGACGAATGGAGTTCTGCGACAAAGACCAAAAAAAAAAAAAAAAAGGTTATTTAACATGATCTCATTGAGCAAATTTGTCATGCAAAAACTGATTGTGCCAGTTTGTCTTTGTGAGGGAGATGAGACAAGAGAAGGAAGGGGGGGTGGGAGCTTTGTTTTGTTGTTGTTTGTATAAAGCAAATGTACCTAATGAGGCTTTCTAGTAAACCGGCAGCTCTGTGCATTTCAAACATGATCAGCTGTGCTTAGCTGCCATCTCTCTCAGGAGCCCTCATTAACACACACACACACACACACATGCACACACACACACTTAGAGTGCTTTCTCTACCCCATCACCATTCCCCTCAGACAAAAACCCTGTATGAGCACTCTCATGGAAGATGGAAATTTCTGAGACTCTTGCATTAAGAAACACTTGTCATGGAAATCATTAAAGGCTGAAATTAGACTCCTGTGGAATTGAAAAATCGGGGTGGGGGGGCATGCTGGAGGATTTATAATGTACATCTGATGTTTTTTGTTTCCCTACACTGATCAAAGAAAGGCCTGCTGCCTGATGGTGACACTGGGATCAATTGCTCCCCTCTCTCCCTCACCTCGCCATTCACCTGACTCATCAATAATAGAAGGAGAGTTAAGCCGGTCTCGGTTACCTGCCAGCTGGGCTCCGCGTGTCTGTAGTAGCAGAAATTCTCCGTTATCCAGTTATAGATGGTGGACAGAGTCACTTTGGGCTGCTTGCTGGCCTGCATGGCCATGCAGATGAGAGACGCGTAGGAATAGGGCGGTTTGACTTTAGGGTTGGTTTTGTAGTCGACCTCCACGGGCGGACTGGCCTGGATGGGGAGCTGCAGGTAGCCGTTCCCCGGATGCGCGCAGTTGGCGAACCGCGGCACAGCGGTGGAGTCGCTGCCGGAGGTGACGGGGCTCCCAAGGTACAAAGGCATCCCAGTGGCGGCGGTGTCACCGGCCGGCGGGCTGGACGGAGAGTCGGTGCCTCCTCTAGGGAAGCCGAGACGTTTGAGAAACAGGTGCTGCTGGGAGGACGGGCAGCCCGGTCCGGCTCCGTTTGGTCGCTCCGGATCCGCGTTGAGGATGGAGAAATTCTGGAGCCAGTGAAGGCTGGTGAGGCTGTCGTCCAGGGGGACCGAGTCGGACCCGGTGACCTGATCGTCCGGGTACACCGCCAGCCACTTCTCCTTAAACTTGTTGGCAATGTCGGGGCTCGTTAGAACCGGCATCCTGGCTTTGTGCGCACGGTGAGGGCTGGATACGAGCAGAAGATCTTCACATCCGCATTTAAAGTTTGTTTTACCTTCAAAAGAAGTGACAGAAAAAAAGAACACAGTCTAATTAAATGACTAAATCATCCTCACATGCAAATAAATAACCACGGATGAAATGTTTGGCCATAAAATCACAAGCACATTAATCCTACAGATTGCCAAGTGATGCGTAATTTCCCTACCTCCGGTGCAGCCTTGTTGGAGGAGATTCTGTGTGTGCACCTGTTGCAGTCCGTCCCTGCCTCTCCTCTCCAAGGACTCAGCGGCGCATCCACTCTCTGCGCAACAAGTGCGGCGGGGGGAGGGCGGGTAGCATCCAGCAGCAGCAGCAGAGGCAGCAGCAGCTCACACGGAGGCAAAGGAAGAAACGCGCCGCTCAGGACAGAAGGACACATCCATGCCGCGTCAGGCGAACCGGGCTGTTACTCATCCAAACTGCTCGGCTCTGCTTGAGTGTCTGTGGGAGGTCAAGACGTGAGAATGTGCGGAGGTTGTAAAAGAAGTCGCTCATAAAGCCCGAGAGACTGCCCACCATCCCTTTAAACGCCTGAGGGGATTTCTGATTGGCTGTATCCTCCTTGCAGCTCCAGGTTTCTGTCTCTCTCCCTCACTAGCTCACTCACACACACAAAGGAGGGTGGGGTGGGGTGGGGTGGGGTGGGGGGGGGGCACTTAACTGAATGTCGAATAAGTGCACTACAGGTTCGCCGCAGTAAGAACAGTCAGTTTCTCTGCCTTTAATCTCTGTCTTCATCCCGGAAACAGGCTGAAATGTGACCTGTGTGGCGCGCGTCACGGCCCTCCCTCCCGCTGGCGCTGGAAAAGACGCGCCACAGGTCCCGCACTTCTGCACCTGCAAGGAAATCAGCCCGATTGAACTGATAAGCCTGTATTTACCATGCCTTTCACTGTGGGTAATTACTGTTTATTTTCAAGCGTGAAACGGCAAATTGAATAGTTAAGTGTCTGTTTTGTACAATTACATGATCATCTTCCGGTTAAATTCGCCCTTCAATTGATCTCAACCCAGATATTTTAGTCCAGACACAAGATGCCTATAATAAAGTACACTTTTGAGACAGTTAAGTGACTCATAGGCTAATACAGCTTGTTGGATACATTATCCAGTCCACTGTAAGCTAACCTCTGATCAGTGATGGTGTGCACGGTTTAATACAGAGCAGAGATGTAATAAAACAAAATGATGCATCACATTAAGCATCATCTTGTCTAAATATAGTGAAGTTAAAGAGGATTGCCACCTAAATTAAAAATTCCAATATGTTATTTCCATGGCCGAGGAAAGCTTAATCAGTATTTGTGAACATTAGTTATTATTTCTTGAAGCCAGAAACCAGAGAAGTCTCAAACTTTTAATGTAATTGGGTAATAAGTCTCCATAGACAATTAATAGGACCCTGATTTAGTGGACTCACAGAATGTTTGTTTCCTTTTTCATACCCAAATGAGCTTTAGTCTACTGTAGTGTTCTCAGGGGTCAGCAACCTTTACTATTAAAAGAGCCATTATTGGCTAAAAAAAAAAGTCTGGACATATTTGAATAAAGGTAACAGCTTATTGAGTCTAAATTAGCCCAACAACATTACAAATATGTCTAAATGAGCATTCAATAATGTGATTTAATGTGACAGCGTTAGTGGTGAAAGCAAATTAATCTGTCCTCACATTATTAAATCTTCTATTTCCCTCCAAGATTTTCCCTTTTTTAGATTTGGAATCCATAGCTAGCCTTGGTAGAGAGGCTCCCTTTACTAAAGTTAAGTCAAATTTAGAGGAAAAAGCACCAGGTCGTACACATATGACACACATTTTAGTTGATAAAATGTAAAACGTTTTTTAATTTGATGTATAGGCTACACATTTTTACAGCTGTAGAATGCAAAAATCACTTTAGGCCTGCAACACTGACAAGTTAAAATCTAAATGTTGTAAAATAGGGGGCCACTGGAGAGGGTCCAAAGAGCAACAGGTTGCCTACCACTGACATAGGTGCTCAGAGTGATCAACAACATCTTCCCCAGATCATCAGATACCCTATGACATCACAAATTTGAGTTTTAGCACTCTAGTTTTTAGATTTGAGAGAAAGATGTTCATTTTTAAGAATATTTTTGGACTGTCTTAGTCCATACAAATAACGCATGAATTTTGAAAGTGAACGTAGCTCCCCTCTAAGCTTTCACATGCTACTGATTGTCTGTTTCATCAAGCCTGTCAAGTATCCATGTGACGCTGCAAGTGGGCCCTGCCATGCTGCTAGTGCAGCAAAAGCAACATAATTAAACTTTAGATTTTTAAACAAGAAATAAAAGTAAAATGGGTTGTTATCACAATAAAAATGCGTCAATGTTCAGTATGTAACAACTCATTAATTCCATGTATGTGCAAGTGAATGTGTGACTTATGAGGAAACACTGCCACCCAGTGGATGAATACTGCATTGCAGCTGCACCACAGTGCCAAACCACTAATGAAGGCACTGATCTAAAGCCATAATAGACAATAAAGAGGCGCTGAAGGCAAAAAAGACGTCTTACAGCCTGTAGAGAGCACTGACCATTTTCTGTAGGATGCATGTCAAATAGGAACCAGTGTTCAGTGTTTGTTTTCACCATATTGCTATAAGGGATGCACCATGTGTGTGTCTGACTGCAAATGTCTAATCAAACCTTTCCATCATATTCCTCCTGTGTTTGCTCTATTTTCAGACTGAAGAGCGAATGCCACTACCCATTTCAGACAAACAGAAGTCATCTCTTACCGCATCATGCTCTTTGCACCTTCCTTCAATTACATCCGTACCACAGGCCTTGTCATGGCCCTAGTACCCTGATTAGCAGACACACTTGAGATGCCTCCACTGCACCAGACATCTGATTGAAAAGATATGAATTTATGACCTTATAATCACCTCAGTCCCTGCTGTCTGTACATGCGGGACACACAAAGCGGCCATTCCTGAAAGAAAACCAGCATCTGGCGTCTGAGCCACATACTAAAACAATCAAGGGCTCTCAACAGCTGATATAGAGGGAGAAAGCCTTTACAGAAGTAATTGTACATGAACTGTGGCCCACATGCATTACTGATGGCTCTTAAGATTTGGAGTGTGGAGGCTGACAAGAGCTGGCATTTATTGTTGGGCACTGAGGATGGATGAGTGACAAAATCAATGCTGCGGCGCTCGAAGGACCTGGATACGTCGGGCCAGCTGTTGCATCCCATCAAGGAGGCTTGATTTTTAAAATGTCTCTAGGTTTGTTCAGGTTCTTGACAAAGGGGTTGCTGGTGAGGCGGGCAAATGTTTGAACAGCTGTTCTTATTGTTGCCAGGCTTCCCGCTGTCCTTCGGCAGCGACTAAGCACACATACAGTATGGCTACAGTGCATCTAATGGGTTGTTAATCGCACTGTTAACCTTTGGAGGGCATTTAATTCAGGAAAACTCTAATATATGGCAAAGTCCCTGGATTTAATTCCTTTGGCTACAACTCACAGCTACATATTTGGGTGGAGAACCAACTGATGAACATAAGATATTTTGTCTAAACTAATGTGCAGAGATACAAGGTTCTGAATTCTTACCTTTAAGTTTCAAGTATTATTTTTGCCACATTTTGCTTCACATTTGCTTCACCTTACAGCTCTAAAATTTAGCATTTTAAATGTTGACTCGCTAGAATCAAAACAGGGGAATATTACGAGATTTTAAACCCAATCATACCCAAAAGAATGGTACAACACTTTGGACAAATAAGCTTATTTGCTTTCTTTCCAAGAGTTAGATGAGAATGTTGATACAAGTCTCATATATGCGAGATAAATATGAGGCTACCACCAGCAGTCTAGTTAGGGAGGTTAGCTTGGCATAAAGAGTGGAATCAGGAAGAAACAGCTAAACTAGCTGTGTCTGAAGTTTAAATAAATCAGACAGTCAATCAGCTTTAGTATGGAGGACAAAACATGACTTAAATATCAATAAATAAATAAATACAGTAATAATGAATATGCAAATAAATAAATGCATAAACAAATAAGGAAATACGTGTATAAATAACTACGGGAATTAATAAGTACAGGTACATAAAATATAGAAATAAACAACAATGTAGAAGTAAATTTAAGATATGTATGTATGGAGTTTTTAATTATCGATGGTCATTTATTTATGCATTTATCTTTTTAAATCTGTCATTATTTTAACATTTATCTATTTATTTTTTATTTGTTATGTATTTTTTACTTATGTATAGATTCATGCATTTATTTTATACCTATTTATTTATTTATTTATTCATTCCTGTGTTTATTATTTATTTACACATTTTCTTATTCTTTTATTTATTTATTCTAATAATTATTTATACATTTATTTATTTATTTATACTTACATAAATTAATTGACCCTATATTAATTATCTGGGCTGCACGGTGGTGTGGTGGTTAGCACTGTCACCTCACAGCAAGAGGGTTCCTGGTTCAATCCCAGGAGGGAGCCCTTCTGTGGAGAGTTTGCATGTTCTCCCCGTGTCAGCTTGGGTTTCCTCCAGGTACTCCAGCTTCCTCCCACAGTCCAAAGACATGCAGGTTGGGGATAGGTTAATTGGTGACTCTAAATTGTCCATAGGTGTGAATGGTTGTCTCTATGTGTCAGCCCTGTGATAGTCTGGCAGCCTGTCCAGGGTGTACCCTGCCTCTTGCCCAATGTCAGCTGGGATACACTCCAGCCCCCCTGCGACCCCCAAGAGGATAAGCGGTTATGAAAATGGATGGATATATTAATTACATAATTAATAGAAGGTGCTCATGGAATTTTGTTACCTTTGGACATCGCCTGGCTAGCAGTTTGCCCCTACTATTACCACTTTTCGTGCAAGCTAAGCTAGCCAAATGCTAGTTATTGCTTAGTTTTTAAGTAGCGCACAGACATTAGTAGAGTGGCATCAGTCTTCTCATCTAACTCTAAGCAAGAATGTGTATAGGCATGTTCCCCAAAATGTCAGAACTATTCCTTTATCTTGCCCACAAAGGCTTTTGTTCATATTGTGGGGGACATGCACTGTGGGAGTGACAATGGACATTTGGTGCACAGTACCTTTTATATCTGGGTTTACGTTCCCTTCTCACTTGAGCCTCACAGTTATTAAAGTGTGAAATTCGTTTTATTTTTATAACTTTGAACAAACTCGAATTTAGGGTAGGCTGCAACTTATTAATTGTTTTGTCAATGAAATGTCAGAAAATGGTGAAACGTGTCGAGTGTAACTTTCCAGAGCCTAAGGTGACATCTTCAAATGGTATGTTTCATCCGACCAACAGTCCATGGATCCAAAGATATTCATTATCATCTGTGACATGTATGACTACATACTGCACAGTCTTTTAGTGAACCTTTACATATTCCTTGAAAAAGTGTTGCACATTCTGCACTAAACACCACTTACTGCTCTCCTTCATTTTAATTGAGATATAATGTGCCTATTCTTATATTTTCACATTTTCATTATAACTTTGTTCTATCATATATTTCTCTTGATTTTTGCAATTCTTGTTTTTACTTTTTAATTTCATTTTTTTTTTCTTACTATGTTTACCTTATGCACCAATGCACCAAAGTAAATCCCTTGTATTTTAAAACCTATAGTGACAATACATCGCATTCTCATTCTGACAGCATCAAAATATCACTTTATTATCAATAACCTAAACAATTATTCAACTGTCAAAATAGTTGTCAATTGACTTGGGTAACTGATAAACTGAATAATCGCTCCAGCTCTAATGTGACCCGGCTGATTAAACTGTTTAACACTGGAAATCTGACTAATGCAGTTTGCTTGTAGGGATTGTAATCTTCAAAAGTTTAATGTGTGTCTTTTTCCAGATTGATCTGGTTTGAAGGCTCCTCCAATGTGTTCCTGGAGCAGCAGCGGCCCTGTCCCTGTTTTAAGTTAAGTGATGGCAGGCACCCATAAATGACACCAAGGGAGCTGTAAGTAACATAGAGCTGAAGATTGTTAACCAGAATCAGCTGGTAAAAAGGTCACACTAAAATAAAAATATGTACTGGGAAACCTCCAAGGTTCTGTGTCATGTAAAAACATGACTTTATCACCATGGATGTCCATGACCCCAACTTCACCCAGTGTTGAACTACAGTAAATCCTCCTTTCACCAGCAGATGTCGCCATTCCACCCTTTCCTTCACCCTCCCTGCTCTCACATACCTACAAACATGCCATTGATAAAAGAATGTTTACAGTTTACAGTTACCCACAATCCTGAGCAGTGTGTGTTGATATCAGAGGGCTCATTTTACACACAGCCTGCACGAAAACTGCTGCTGCAGAGGCATGGATATTTCCTTTACTGACCCTAATCCATCCACGTGGGGGGATTTATTGTTGGCTTGTCAGAATATGATAAGCCAAAATGGTGTATTTCAAGTATTACATAATTATAGTGTAACTCTGTTGTATTCTTTTGTTCATTCATTGTCTTTCTTCAAGTGACAAACGAGTGCATTCTCCTTTCTTTTTATCACTGACTGCCATTAAAAAGAATAAATGGCCCTATTTTGTTTAACGATTCATTATTTTACGCTCATTAATTTCAGTAATTTATAGTAAGAGGGTGATTAAGTCGTTAATATGCGTCCTTATGGCCATCTGGATGAAGCTGGGTGTTTAGAGGTGCCATTCGTCCTTATTATAACCCTGCTTCAGTTGGAGTCACCTAACATCCGAGCTGCCGTAGTGTCCTCGAGCAAGCGTGAAGATGGGAAGATGAAAATCACTCTGTTGTTGCAACAAAGGAGAATAGGGATGTGAATAGGTCGTAATACCGCCGCAGTCCGCGCTGATGTGTGCAGATAAGCTGCGGCAGTGATGGGATACACACACACGCACACACACGCACACGCACACACACCCACACACACACACACACACACACACACACACACACACACACAGAGAAGTGGTTTATGAGAAGAAGTGCGCAGAGCAGACACGACGCTTCTGAATATGCACCCATGACTGTCGGCTGTCCCTAATTTAACTCCGAGCGATGTAATTGGCGATGGTGGATTTGTTTACCATATTTGGCAAGATAGTGACACAGCGCGCCTGGGAATTGGACGAGAGCGGCCGTCATTCACAAAAGTCTGCCTTCTGGAGCTTTACAAACAAAGCGCGTGCTCACGGGAGTTGTAGTCCAAAACAAACCCTCTCTGAGATTACTCCAGCGGGCATATTGCTCCTCTGCGGTGAATTCAATACCACATATGCTCTAAAATTTAAAACGCACTCACTGTGATGATTTTGTTTCGTTTGACGTTTATTTAAGTGTAAAAATAACCCCGCGTGAGACGGTTAAACACACGCGGATGCGAGACCCTCCGCTCGCAGCATACAAATCCCACCGGCGATGCTCTCCCGTGATTGGCTGCGCCCTCCTGTCAATCACGCGGTGCTCCTTCCTCCACCGCTCCTACAGTAAATATTTGTGTTTGCTCAACCGGCTGTAATGGTGGACGACTGAGGCAGAGGAACGGAATACAACTAGAGTGAAGAAAAGAAAGGAAAAAAGGGTCCGAAAGTCTGTTTCCAGAGCCAGCCGCCGCGAGTAGGACACGGGCTTCGTCGAAAATGGATGAACTCAAACATCAAGTCATGATTAATCAGTTCGTCCTGACGGCGGGTTGTGCGGCAGACCAAGCGAAGCAGCTTTTGCAAGCGGCACATTGGCAGTTCGAGGTAAAAAGAAACAGACAGTTATACGGGTTCAGTGTTAAAGGCGGCGGGGGTTACGTTATTTAGCCACACGGTCCGGTTAGACGTTATGTTTATGTCTGCCCGACCGTTAGTTTCCTCCGGAGCTCGCCCTGTCTGCCTCGCGACACTTTTTTAAAGCTCGTGCAATTCAAACACAAAACAAAGCGTTACTGTTAGCTATGTGTCCGCTTGAGGTGGCAAAGAAGTCGGCCCACTTACTAAGCAGAACTTTTGTTGTATTTAAAGTGTACATGTTGGTGTTTTAGCCAGACTAAACCAGCAGGGAGTACACGGTAACGCAGCGGGGCGAAGCACACAGCTAGCATATCCAATTAGACTTTACTCTAGATTAAATACTATAATCCGACACATGACAGCGGTGTACAGGCGAGGCCAGCGAGTGCTGTTATGCAATAAAGATGACCGCCGTGTTGTATCGACGAGCCTACAACAAGAGTACATGATTGTTTATTCTGCGGTGGACCTAATATAGATTTAGCTTTCATTTGTCTTCGCCGCAGGCTCGCTGTATTGTTTGGGTTTTATGTACATGAGCAGAAATGAGGCGATGTTTGCCTGAATTCTTTGCCCCCAGCTATTTTAATGCTCTTAACTTACACGTTGTCACCAAATGTCATTCATTTCTTTGTGTGTTTCATTTTAGACTGCTCTCAGTGCCTTTTTTCAAGAAACAAATATTCCATATGGCCATCATCATCAAATGGTGAGTGCGAGGAGGAGCGGCGGTGATGATTATATACTTTATCTTTTACTATTTATTCTGTTTATGTGATTATAACAAACCCTAAATTCAAGCTAGTATTTCTTTAAGGCTTCTGTGTTGTTTTGGGTGGGATGGGGGAGGATAAACAGCCCTTATAGGCCAAGAGGGATGATGTTGTACTAACAATAACAAAGCACATGTCGGCCATGTTGTGAGCTTCCAGAAATAAACACACAGGCAGGCATGCAGCCGCAGCAGCCACACTGAGAGGGAGAGACTATGTGTGTATGTATGCGAAAGAAGAGGGAGGGAGGCAGATAGATGTAGATGTATGAAATTCGCCCATTTTTCATTGTATTAGCCAGAGTGCATAAAGGAAGGAAGGGCCCCTCAGTTTCTGGGTAAGACTGAAAAGAAGTCTAATTCCAGGAAGAGGACAGCTGCCTCTCACAAATAGACCCTCGTGCAGTTGCATTTGCCTCTGGTAATTTGGCTGTTTTCCCTGATTGGGTTATTGCAGCCCACAGCACCACACATATTGGGGACTTTAAGGGGTAGAGAGGAGAGAGCAGAGTAAAGTGGAAGGCGTTGAGGCTGCAGGAGACTCTACACATACACACTAAGGGGTTGAACATTATGAAACACTAGCAGTATTTGGGCTTTTAGCAGCAGCCCACTTTGGCAGCACACAAGCCTTTGTTTGCAGCTGCATGCATGGCAGCATCCAGCAACAGCTGCCCTCTGGAAGAGCCTGACAGAGACATGGGGGGATATTTTTTATTATTTTTTTGGATGAAACTGTTGATCATTTTTTAAGCTCACGCTCTGTTTGTGTTTGGTTCACTGTTTGTGTGGCAAAGATGGTCACGGAGCTGCTAAACATTTTTTTTGCTTTCCTAGAGGAAAGTAAGTGAAATAGGGATAAAAGAGGATTTGGTTTTTTTATTGCATTGTGTGAGAGCCTGTGTGCATTTATAGCCTCCGAGTAGTGCAGTATCGCCAGTCAGCATAGAAACAGCTCACGCTGGGCTGGATCGCTTTTATAGCAGCTTTATTATAAGGAAGAAAGCCAGTCCTTCTTTATCATCTGATCAGTAAATAAGAGCATCTCACTCCTCTATTTAGCTCATGAAATGTCTCACTTTAATTTAGAGAGTAAACAATCCGCCAAGAGCTGTTCTGTTCTGTCTGCCAAATAGGGCTGAGCTTGATTGCTGCAGACACTGGATCATGAAAGTCAGAACGCACAGCACCTACGCGTGTTTGTGGCGTTTTTACATCGACATGTTCTTGCATAATCGCAAGTTCACGTTCCCTTTTTTTTTTTTTTTTGCATATGGCAGCATATGCATGCGTCTCTGAGCTTAACGTGCGCCACATTTGTATTTTGTGCATTCAGAGAGTGGGTGTTTGTGTGTGAGTCACAACAGTACTACAGTAGGGCAGCGTGTCCAACCTTCCTGCAGCTTACCAGGCCACAGTGTTCGTTGGTATACAGGTCTAATCCACTTTGCTCTCACTCTCACTCGCTCTATCTCTCTCTCCAGTTTAAGCATGAACATTAGGTTACATTTCTGTCGCACATGCCGTTGCGTCAGTGTTTTGTGTTACAACATAAACTGAACTCATCCTTGAGATTGCTATTTTGGCTAGAGGCCTCGCCCCAGCCTTAAGGGCCCCAACAGATAGCCTGTAGATGTGCAGGGCTTGGCAGCAAGGCAGGCTAGGACGTCATGTAGGTCAGTTAGTTTATGGATACTGTTTAATGAGCTGGTTTATGCTGTTGTTTTTGAAGCCCAACAGTGTATAAAGTTGAATGTGGTATACCAAATCATTTTTCAGAGTTCACCATTAATGTTCACCATTAATGGTTTTTTTTATACTGAGGCTGCTACTAGCGATTGTTTTCATTGTTGATTAATCTAATGATGATTTTTGCGATTAATTGATTAGTTATTTGGTCTATAAAATGTCCAAGAATGGTGAGAAATGTCAGTTGGTGTTTCCCAAACCCCAAGATGGTGTCCTCAAATGTCCAATCTTGTCCATAACCCAAACATATTCAGTTTACTGTCATAGAGGAGTAAAGAAACCAGAAATTAGCTGGAATCAGAGAATGAAATGAAATACCATGAAAGACTTAAGTTAACTGCATGAAAAATGACCCCATTTTATCTGCCTTGCTCTCAAACTTGCAAGCAAACTACGCAATACATACTTGGAGTTTCACCCACGTTATCTAACACCACCCTACTAAACTTCTGTTTGCAGTATAATTGAAATGCTTCTTTGCGCTTCAGCTCATAAACTTTGTCTTTTACCTCCCTTAATTTCTTTGGAGTGCTGAATCAGAGATGATAAGCATGCAAGATGGCTCACTCCTTAGCTATTTCCATCCTGAAACAAACATTGGGTTTTAATTGTGTTTTACCACTTGCCTGAACGGGCAAGTAAGTGGCCAGTTCTACAAGCCCGACATGTCATTCCACCTGCCCTTGGCAATCAGACAGTCCTTATTGTTAAGCCCTGCTTTTCCATCCAACTTTGGCATCATGGGACATAAATTATCTTGGATACAAAAGCGCTATTGTTTGAGAAATACAGTTATTTCCAAACGAACCTTGTCTGGTGAGGATTTGTAGCCGACTAGGAAGCATTAAAGTTGTGCGCCATGTCAGGTCTGATTGTGTTTACCTGTGCTTTGCTAATGCATAATTTGTGCATCGTATGTCAAAGGTTTATACCCTGTATCAAATATCATATAATGAGGTGAGCTAGCCGACTCATCAGCGAAGTCTTGAATAATGCTGTGAAGGCGGGAGGGATTTGGATAAAGCTCATGTCATTATTATTTCCTTTTAGTAGCAATCCCAGACCCAGGGGAGTGCCCATGCTTTGGCACATGATGTAGAAGAGCTACAATCTCTGTACAGACACGCATTCAGGACTCTGTTGTTGTCTATGCGTGTGTATGTTAAGTGCGTCTGTTTCTGTGAGAGCCACACAGCCACATGATGGATCTTGAACAGATTGTCCATTTATGTCTGTGCTTTGACTGCAGCTATCAAAGCTTACATCTACTGTATGTTCCACGATGGACACCCAGACACTGAAACTCCATCCAACTCGAGTTGTGTGCAACCCCTTGCTGTCTACTCCCAGTTTTCTCCTCTACACATACCCTGCCTTGACTAACACGGCAACCGCCACACATTCCTGCAGGATGCAGCGCTCACACCGACCCAAAATGGACCCTTTCACAGCAGAAGGTGTCGGTGTAACTAAAAACACAGCACCCTGTCTCTGTCTTTAGTTTACACACTCTCTCACTCTTCTTTCCTCCCTCCATCGCGAGCTGTCTCTTTCTGTGTACAGACGCAAAACATAAGGCTCGAGAATTCAATTAGCCATTTATGTTTCCTGTTTGAGAGTTTTATTATCATGCCCTGTCCTCATCATCTTGTTTTAGCGTAAATCTCAAAGCGGTTACAACCTCCAGCACAGCACATCGGCATGTGCACTCCTACTTGGAATACACGATATATCAGAGTTGTATTTCTGTTGCTTCTGGCTGTTTGATGCTAATCCCTCTTATCAAATATTATGCACACATTCTCGTACCCGTGCCCTTTTTTGTTTACATATATTTTTTAGGAATGTGCCAAACCAATTTTAAGACATTTTTTAAATGAAGTGCCTATATAAAGTCTGAGCAAATTAAATAGAAAGATTTCCTAGGAACTAGATGCATATGAGTAACTTTGGGAAATATATTTTCAGTCATCATGGTTCTTAAATGATCAGTGTGGACACAGTGTAACTGTCTGTACTACTTAGAGTAGTACACTATGTGTCAGTGAATTTGTAAGGAAAAAACACTGACGCTTAACACTGATATCAGCGTTTCCATGATTAAAATCGCTCCATGTGGGGCACATACAGCCACAATAAAGTGAATGAATCCTCATGTGACCACAGAGGAGGAAGTAGATGGATGACTTCCACTGCTGTCTGGAAACATGTGACCCCCCCCCCATCATGTGACTAAGCAGAGAAACGACCTTACTAAGCCACAAAGCCTGCTTCACATGTGTGTAATTTCTGCTCGAGTCATGGCTATTAAAAAGCAGATAGGGAGGTCTTCATGTGGAAGCCATGCAGTAAAGTCAGGACTGTGGCTCTATGCTAAAGTATGTTGCCTTTTATAGGTCAGGGTAGTAAAAATAATCTTCTGTAGAAATATTTCACGTTCTCCTCTTTGCTTGAATCATATCTGCACTCCTACAGTATATCATCCTCCTGTTCTCACCCCGAAACACTAGGTGCTTTTTTAACCGCAGTTTCTCTTTCCTTTCTTGCAAAATATTGTCCAGGTTCCGTGGATGTAGCTTTCACCTTCTTATTACCTAAATATATTAGCAAAAGCAGTAAATAATCTTCATCTGTATCCATTTGAAGAACTTTTACTGCTGAGCACAACCCAGGCTGGCCTACATGCTGCAGCTCACGGAGTCATGAAAAAAACAGCTCCATGGTTTGAATGATCACCGTTTTTTATTGTGCTGTAATTGCTGTTGGTCACAAGCATCATGCACAAGTTGAATGAATCTAGGGTTTTATGAAGGGCAACGTTCAGTACCACTGACTGGGTACAGTGACGTAGCTGAATAGTATTGGGCACTGCAGGGCAGTGATAAAAGTGGGCGTGAGGTTGTTTAAAGGCTGTTTCCTGGCAATATAAACACCCAGGAGAAGAAAAAAGGAGTGTGTGTGTGTGTGTTTGAGGGGGTGTTTCTGGTAACTACAAACATTAGGTTTTGGTGTCAGGGTGTGGCTTTAAGGAAGGGATTTTTAGAAATCCTAACTTTTCTCATCCATGTGAGATTTCGCTGAGATCTTGAAGTGTGTGGTGTGCCCGGGCAGAAGAGCAGAGGTATAATTACCTTCATAAATCAGGATATGACAACATGAGCGACTGTCGGCTCCTATTTCTCTATCTC